TGAATTAGATGATTTGCTTGATATACAAATACATTTGTCTGGTCGATCAACTGTTTCGTGTCAAATTAAATTAATGTCAAAGAGTTGTGATTTTATATATTATAGCTAAGTTTTCTAAATCATGGTAGGCGTTGTATTCTCAACTAAATTTTACTATTCCTAACATTAAAATAAAATAGTGGGATCCATTATGAGTAAACTTTAAGCCTTTAAGGTACACACACCTTGATTACAATTTTGTATACATTAACAGTCATAGTACACAGTAATTATCATTTAGTAGACTTTGACTATTTTCAACTAACAAACATATGTTTCTGTAAATAAAAAAATATCTCCCTTGTTATTCTTATGGAGAAAAGACGTACTTTAAGAGCCGCTCACGCCCTTCCTAATGGCTTTATAAAAAATCTAATACCGGTGGGGACAACTACACGTTTAGCCCTTTATTTTGAGACCTCAAACATTAAAATCGGGCGAATAATAACGGAGGAGTTCGATTAACAAAAAACGGCTTAGCCTATTATATATATAGATATAGATATAGCCAAAAGTGGTGAAAAAGGCAGACACCAACCCGTACAATAGATAAAAGATAGTTCAGTAAGAAATAATTATTGTTAAATAAGAGTTACTGTGATAAAAGGATTTTCCACTGATTTCGTAATGGAACGTTATATTGCAAAATATGACATGATACAGAAGAAAATCAATTTTAAAATCAGAAAATAACATTGCAAATTATTTTCTTTTGGACAATTCAGTAACTCCCAATAAATGTGTGTTGTTTAAAACACAATTCAAAAATTTACAGCTGTTTCATTAAAAAGTATTATCCACATGGACAAAATGTAAACAAATCTGTGGAGGGATCTTTAAGGGCTTCTGGGGCAGAGCCCTAACGGGATTCACTTAGTTTTTCTTTTGGTAACTCATTTAGGGACCAACACCTTTCTTTGGACACCCCTACCAAGTTTCTACGCCCAGTCGTTCTCTCAAATTAATGGAGACAAAGTTTCCAATTAAATATTTAGATTCCCCCATGTTAATCTTAAGGGAGAAAATCCAACTTTAATGGAAGATCCTGCCCAAACTAATAAAGATTTCAAAAAAACGAAAAAAACTTTGCAAAACTACAGATCAGGGCCATTCATTTGACACTTTAATCATCAAAATCGGTCCAAAAATGAGGGAGGAGTTCTGTTTACAAAAATCGGCTTAGCGTATTAATATATATATAGATGTTTGATAGGTATAACATTTACACACTTATAGGATTTTAATGCGTTGCAATTTAAAACTGTTTAGAAAATTAAGCTGGTTAAGAATAAGTGGGAAGTTTACACTGCAATGGACGCAGTCATACAGAAAGAGGTGTTAAATTGACATTATAAACTCATTACGCAAAAGTAACAAAAGCAAATAAAATTAACAATACCCTCACCGCAGCAAACCTGCAGAGTAAGCGAATTTCCATTTCCCTGAATTGATTTTAAGTTAATAGTAGTTTACGCAACGATTGCGTTAAGTTAGTCTTTACGACACGAGTAGAAAAAACTTCTACGAGTGTCGTAAAGACTATTAACGCGAGTTGCGTGCACTACTTTACCTACGACCGTTTTTTAATTAGGTACTAAAAAATCTGGTTTTTAATTACTAACAATCACTACTCAGAACTTCATAGAGAGGTAATGTTTTCGTTTATTGTCATTGCCACTGAAAGTGGTGCAACACGACTTATTGTTTAATCAGCTGATTTCATGCAATTCCGTGCTTGTAAAACTTCGTTAAATAATACGTTACTTGTTTTAGGGAATAGGTTCTGCTAGCAGCATTCTTACCATAAATACTGTATCAGGTACAATTAGGGAAATATTGAATATTTTCTAGACAACTAAATATAGTGAAACAGTTAATTTACAGTTAGATCTCAGCATCGAATATGTGGCCCACAACGAGTTTGGTGAAAAAGTGGTTAAGAAGTTTTCAAAATAAACCAGAAGCACATTTTCATTTATCAATTTAACCTTATTTTTGTTTCGTCCATTTAATGAATTGCTGGGTATGTAATTACATACTTTTGTTTTGATTTTAGAGGCAACAGATTATCACAAACAGTTTGTGTACCATCTCGTCAACTTCAGTTTCACTAACTGACATTTTTAAATAAGTTTAATCCACCTTCCTTTAACTTCCACCAACTAAGAATACGCGAGAATCAACAGGAACAAGTTGGATCAACAATAATTAAAGTTGTCAATTAATCAGCTGATCAGCTGATCAGTTGACGTTCGAAGCATTACAATTTTACTTCTTTTCTCTCAATCCTTGAACCTCATTGATCCGTTACACGTGTTGTTATGAGAAAACTATGCTGTTATGAAATGAAACTATGATGTTATGAAAGTAAACAGCTGTTAAGTGAAACTTTTCAATTCTAAGAACTGAACTGAAACGGCTACATTAAAAAACGGTCGTAGGTCAAATCTATTTAAATAACTACGAGTATTTTACTAATAGATGCACTTTATTAGCCTCCCAAATAAAATTAGGTTTGACGAGTACCTAGGTTTAATAAATTTTATGTTGGTTGTTCACCTTGCTGAATGTTGTTGTTTGCTTGAAACTCATCCGATTTGAATAAATAATAGCTTAATGAAAGCTATTATTTATAGGCATTTCTCTGAAGGTTCTTATACCAAAATATATAGGACTATATAATTATAACTGAAATACATCTTAAACTGAAGTATGAATTCGAAACTTAATTAAATTATGTTTTTTTGTCAAGTAAAACAGTAGGTAAATATATGCCGATGCCTGATGTGAAATCTGTGCATTCATACCTTTTTGAGACCTCAATCATAAAAAATCGGTCGGGTAGAAGAGTCAAACGAACTCGGAAAAGAAAAACCAATTGTTTTTAAATAGATAAGATGTTATATAATGAACTTAAAACAATAAAACACGAGATCTGTCAAAAATAATAAGATACAAATATTAATTCCGTCTTCGCATTCAATTTCTGTAACGCAATCGGAAGACTGTACAACTGCCGGAAGACTGTGTAGGTATATTGCCTATCTCACCATCACGCTGGGGATTGAAGGGGCATTTCTTTATATCCAGTCATAATTGGATGATGATAAAGTAGTTGGATTTGTTGTGCAATGTCTTGCCCGAGTTTTACTTTCAATAAATACGAAGGATAAGGTTGATTGAAAATCATTTATATAAACAGTCAGTCTATAAGTATAAAAGAGGATGTTTGTATGGCAGTGATAAACTCAGACACCGCTGAACAGATTACAACGAAACTTGGTACATACGTGTAGAATTTCATGGAATAGGTTTATACACCATCAATTTCGTGATCCGTCCAATCGGCTCCGCCCCAGTGGCTCTGGAGATTCCCATGTTAACCTTATGAGAAATGGAATTAATGAATCTTAACAGCTGTTTCAATTAAACAAGTTGGTTCTGTCATAGACTAGTATGTTTTATCTATGGTTCTGTTCTATGATGTTCAATAGCATTAAAGTTACAAGGATTACCAACAGGGTGCAGCACTATTATTTCTTTTACATTTATGACAACAGCTAATTTGCAACCAAAAGGTGAGTGAGCATTGCGAACTAACTTCAACCTGGAGGCGAGTTAGCGTAGCGAACGAGCTAACCTGAAGGCAAGTGAGCGCAGCGAAAGAGCTACAACCTAAAGGTGAGTGAGCGTAGCGAACGAACTTCAACCAGGACGTGATTGAGCAATGCGAACGAGATCATCTTGAAAATTAAGAAGTTAAACGGGGCAAAGCCCGCGGGTTACAGCTAGTCATTTATATAAACAGTTAGTTAGTATAAAAATACTGAATCGTTTTGTTAAAGTCAAGGTAGATTCAAAGCCTCTTCTATAGGATTATAAGAACACTAACAGGCCTATAACCGGATTGATGATCCACCCTTGAGTAGAGTTTCAACCCAGACGGTTTAGTAGTCTTGCGTTCAACCACAACAAACACAGTCAGATAATAGGATTTATAACTTTTTGCACATACCTCGGAATAGAATTATGTAGTTAACTGAAATAAATTTGATTTAATTACACTCAGAAAACGTTATGAAAAAGTGGTACAAATTAGTCAATGAGGTGTTTCAAAAGGACGTGGAACTGTTTTGAGTTTTACTTTGATCACCAATGGTGGGTTTAACTAGGGTTTTCTACAAGGAACCACATTAGTCTCCTCTGTGATGTGAGTAACGGGTAAAACTATATTAGATTATAAAATACTGTAACCTTATGGGTAGACATATCGTGAAATGTATGAAACTTAAAATGCGCCAAGTTCATGGTCGTAATATACTGTACCAAACACTAACCCAACTGCCGCAGCACGGTTTATAAATCTATAAAAAGTAAATTTCCGAATCTTTTACTCTCACAAATAGACAGGCCGAGGTCCCAACGCGTTGGTTTCGTCCTGACGTGTCGGATTATTGTTATTATCATCCAAAGACTATGGCATTATAAAGAACTAAAATCCATTTGGGATTGGCGGGATTTGAACCCAGGACCTCCGTGACCAAATCTATGACACCAGCTGGCTTCTAACAGTTTTGTTCAACGAGTAAGTTGTGTTTCTACAGAAATTCTGTCTTAACGTATCCTGCATTTTCTTTTGATGATGAATGAGTAATTGCAATTGGTAACAAATTGAAAATGCCCAGTCACATTTGAAAATAAAACGTACAAGTACCCTTCTAAACACTAAATCATCCCGTTTGAGAAGTTCACAATTTCTTAACAGGTGTAGGCTAAGAGCAGTGTTTACAGCGGCGCTGTAGTACCGTTCAGTCTACAGTTTTTGCAGCGCGGAACAATTTATTAGTCTGCCTCAAGACACGGCACTGATGTAAGACAATTGGTTTGTTCTATTGCCAAGAAGAATCGGCTCGGAAGCGTGGAGTTTAAATATAGCGACCTAGGCTTAACGGGCCGAGAATAATAGCGTGAGGTTGAGAGGTAGGAGGGGAGCGCGCAGTGGGAATAGTGCTATTGTGGGTGCATCAGCTATTTATATTGGAGGCAAGTAATTAATAACTCATCAGCTATATTTGACGGCGTGAATTGGTGTTGGTGTTAAGCAATTGTTTTGATCGTGTTGTACAACGTGATAACGCTTGTTAGATGGTTACATTTGCTTGAAACTATGCCTTTTTGAATATCTATTTATGTTTGTTTTCGTTTTCGCTTTGCAGTCAGTTAAACCAAATTAAGTAGTTAAAATGTTTTATTAAATGTATATGTTTTAGTTATTTGTGGCTTGTGTAATATTTAATTTGATGAAGTATTATAACTATACAATATTCAAAATAATTGTTTAAGTAGAACGTTTAACCCATTTAATTTTTTTTCGAGCTTGAGATAGTGTAAATTATTAGATTCTGTAGTATAGAATATCGGCACCAATATAATCAGCCTCCAATCTGATCAACCAGTGTAACCTACACCATCTCCTTACAGGACCTGCATTGAAACCCAATATGATCATCTCTCAACATCACATATGACTCTTAACATCGCCTTTAACACGACCATCCACCATCGTAAATGTCAATATGACCACCCTTTCAGCAAATCTTTAATACGAACATTAACCAATTTAAGTTTCAATATGACTTAACATAAGCTCTAATAACATCATAACATAAATACATCTTAACATAATTTCCCATACCATCAACCATTAACATAAGTTCCAATATCATAATCCCTTGATACATGTTCCAATGTCATCATCCCTTAACATTAGCATCCATTAACTTAGGTTCCAATATCATCGTCTATTAACATAATTTCCCATACCATCATCCATTAACATAAGTTCCAATATCATTATCATTTAACATAAGTTCCAATATTATCATTATTTAACTTAAGTTCCGATATCATAATCGCTTAACACAAGTTCCAATATCATTATCCCTTAACATAGGCTCCAATATCATCATCCCTTAACATAGGCTCCAATATCATCATCCATTAATCTAAGTTCCATTATCATCATCCCTTAACATTAGCTCCCATATCATTATCCATTAACATAAGTTCCAATATCACATCATCCCTTAACATAAGCTCCCATATCATCATCCATTAACCTAAGTTCCATTATGATCATCCCTTAACATAGGCTCCCATATCATCATCCATTAACATAAGTTCCAATATCGTAATCCCTTAACCTAAGTTCCATTATCATCATCCCTTAACATAGGCTCCCATATCATCATCCATTAACATAAGTTCCAATATCGTAATCCCTTAACCTAAGTTCCATTATCATCATCCCCTAACATAGGCTCCCATATCATCATCCATTAACCTAAGTTCCATTATCATCATCCCTTAACATAGGCTCCCATATCATCATCCATTAACATAAGTTCCAATATCGTAATCCCTTAACATAGGCTCCCATATCATCATCCATTAACATAAGTTCCATTATCATCATCCATTAACCTAAGTTATATTATCATCATCCCCTAACATAGGCTCCCATATCATCATCCATTAACCTAAGTTCCATTATCATCATCCCTTAACATAGGCTCCCATATCATCATCCATTAACATAAGTTCCAATATCGTAATCCCTTAACCTAAGTTCCATTATCATCATCCCTTAACATAGGCTCCCATATCATCATCCATTAACATAAGTTCCAATATCGTAATCCCTTAACCTAAGTTCCATTATCATCATCCCCTAACATAGGCTCCCATAACATCATCCATTAACCTAAGTTCCATTATCATCATCCCTTAACATAGGCTCCCATATCATCATCCATTAACATAAGTTCCAATATCGTAATCCCTTAACATAGGCTCCCATATCATCATCCTTTAACATAGGCTCCCATATCATAATTCATTAACCTAAGTTCCATTATCATCATCCCTTAACATAAGCTCCCATATCATCATCTATTAACCTAAGTTCCATTATCATCATCCTTTAACATAGGCTCCCATATCATAATTCATTAACCTAAGTTCCATTATCATCATCCCTTAACATAAGCTCCCATATCATCATCTATTAACCTAAGTTCCATTATCATCATCCCTTAACATAGGCTCCCATATCATCATCCATTAACATAAGTTCCATTATCATCATCCCTTAACATAGGCTCCCATATCATCATCCATTAACATAAGTTCCAATACCGTAATCCCTTAACCTAAGTATACATTAACATAATTGTAATATCACCATCTCTTAAATACCATCATGCCTTGGTATAAGCTCTAATTTCATCACATCTTAACATAAGCTCTGTAATCATCTCTCAATAAGTTCTAGTATCACAATCCCGTATAGTCCAATGCCATCATCCTTTGACAGAAGCTCAAATATGATTGTTCCTCAATGAAAGCTCACTTGTTATCACTTCTTAGCACAAGCTCTAATTGTATCATCCCTTAAATATAAACATGTAGCATCCCTAGTCCGTCCCTCTGATCATATAATCAGTAGGTGTATTGCTTATAATGTGTTTATCCCTAAACATTGTCTTTAAGCGAATCCTCCCTGTAGGACATTCAATGCAGCTGCAAATATAAAATAATATCTCTATTGGAAGAATCATAATTGTAGCGAGTGAATTACCCATGTAGGGAATAAGGATTTACCGTAGGTGGTGTGGTAAGGTGGTTTACAGCTGTTATGTTAAGCAAATTATATCATACCAAAAGCTAGTTTAAAATCTTAGCGTCGGCTGCTAGACTTTTCAAAAATTAAAACTTAATTTCTAAATAACTGGGACCCTAAACTAAAATTATGGCTTCGACATTCCCTAGTTCTCAAAATTATCTTTCTTTCAACACAAACATAATGAAAATCCGTCGAGTGGTTGATTCAGAATCGTGAAATAAAAAAAACCCCTATTACGTTTTAATATTATAGATGGTCCTGACTAATGAAACAGCTGGTCTTAGTCAGTAACAAAGCTACACAGATTACACTCGTTTCACGCATATTTAGGTTGACATACGCACCTAGGTGGCGTCCCCATCTCAGAATATATACAAAAACCGATCATTTTCAGGTCATTTAATCAAATTATTCTTGGGTAAACATATCAAGTGTATCCAACACAGTGCGGATATAGTGCCAGGGGAAAGTCTGATAAATTATTCATGTCCAACTGCATCGGAGTGTTTTGCCAGCTCACGCTGTGTGAGGTAAGCAGCTACACAAGCAGCTGAACACGGCAGTAAATACACCACGTGTCTAATTGGTGATAAATAAAATGTATGAATCATTAGTGTTGGACGAAGAGGCTTTTGAGTCTCTTAATTTGATATGTACAAATAACTTCCCACAGTCAACCCACGAATACTACGACAGAAACTGTATGGATCATAAACATAAATGTCGTCACTGGCCCGAATCTTATGCTAATAGCCTTACAGTATGGTTTTAAAATTGTTGACGTAATTTAAATAAAATTACAAACATTTTTACATTTGGCCAGTGACGTAAGTTATGTTTATGTTCTATACAGTTTGTGTTTATAATATTCGAAAGTTTACCACAGCTCTTTGTGGTAAATATACGTAGTATAGTTATTGTATTGAAGGATTTAATAATGAAGTCCATGAAACAATAAAGTATTATGTAATATTTTTACAGAAACGTATTATTATTAGAATACCCCCGCCGCAGCAAACCTGCAGACTAAGCGAATTTTAACTTGTCTGATTACATTTTTACTCAAATATTTCCATAAATAAGACATATTTATTCCCTATTTAAATAACATTAGATTTAACAAGTGCTTAGGTTTGCTGCTACGGGGAAGGTAAAAAGTGTTTTTTGACCATACGTGAATAGTATGGGATGAAATAAATAAATTTGCCAAATTTTATCAATATATACCCATAAACAAGTAAACTACAACAATTTTTATTTTCTCCATAAGAATAACATGGGAATTTTAAATTAAACTATTATTAAATTTTCTCCGTGACCGTTAGGCATACAACAGCGCTTCAATATACTAAATTATTTCTTTTTTTAAGCTCTACAAAACGGTTTAGAAAGAAATTGCAAAATTTTTTGTTTTTAGGGTAAAAAATGGGAAAAACACATTTTTACCCCATAAAACCCCCCATAAATCCCTTTTCCCATGGTCCAGTATGCTGGATCGCGAACTCGTTCGAATAAACGTATGTTTACACGTTTGTACCAAATTTCATCAAAATCGGATAATTTTTGCTCGAGTTATCGCGCTAACGGACACACACACACACATATATATATATATATATGTATATATATATATATATATGAATTTGAACGGATGGTGTTTTTGGCCTCTAGGGACCTCAAAATGAAAAAAAATCAGTCCCGCGTCCACGTCTTACAATGAGTACTACGGTAATAGCTACCCTATATGGGAAATTCGCTAATATATTTTCAATGTTGTTTGTATGGTTAACTAAGATAACAAATTGATAAAATCTACTCTGATAAACTTTACATTGTATTAGCACTGACTTATAAAGTGCTTCTACACTTTTCATCATATTGTACAATCTGAAGCCAGTTTAGATGCATGTCGCGTTGCTAAAGTGTAAGTGCATTAGTTCATCTTTTATGTCAGGGTAGTCATTACACTTTATGCTTACCTTTTTGGTTATGCCAGAAAACAATTAGTTTATAAAACATTTGTTAAACCTAGGTAAAACATGTTTCGTTGGTTAAAAATAGCTACAAAATGACCTTCAAATACATCGGACACAAACATACATACTATCTCCAGGGAATCAAAAAGGGTCTATGATTAATCTCTGATTTTAGTTAACAGAGGCAGTTTTTCAGGGAAAATACGATGCCTTCCATTTCTTCAGCATACTGTTATATACCTTTTTAATTATTGTAAAACTTTTCCTTTCGTTTTTCAGGATGGGAGGACAGAGTTGTGTGATCTGCCAGAAGGACGCGAGTAAGCGATGTGGAGGATGTTGTCAGGTCTACTACTGCAACAAGGAACACCAGAAACTGGACTGGGCCAAACACAAACATACATGCAATCCTTTCAAGGTAAGCTTCTACCACCAAGTGTTCACAATAGTTAGCGATGTGGAGGATGTTGTCAGGTCTACCACTGCAACAAGGAACACCAGAAGCTGGACCGGGCCAAACACAAACATACATGCTAACCTTTCAAGGTAAGCTTCTACCACCAAGTCTTCACAATAGAAAGTGATGTGGAGGATGTTGTCAGGTCTACCACTGCAACAAGGAACACCAGAAGCTGGACCGGGCCAAACACAAACATACATGCAAACCTTTCAAGGTAAGCTTCTACTACCAAGTCTTCACAATAGCTAGTGATGTGGAGGATGTTGTCAGGTCTACTACTGTAACAAGGAACACCAGAAACTGGACTGGGCTAAACACAAACATACATGCAAACCTTTCAAGGTAAGCTTCTACTACCAAGTCTTCACAATAGAAAGTGATGTGGAGGATGTTGTCAGGTCTACTACTGCAACAAGGAACACCAGAAGCTGGACCGGGCCAAACACAAACATACATGCTAACCTTTCAAGGTAAGCTTCTACCACCAAGTCTTCACAATAGTAAGTGATGTGGAGGATGTTGTCAGGTCTACCACTGCAACAAGGAACACCAGAAGCTGGACCGGGCCAAACACAAACATACATGCTAACCTTTCAAGGTAAGCTTCTACCACCAAGTCTTCACAATAGTAAGTGATGTGGAGGATGTTGTCAGGTCTACCACTGCAACAAGGAACACCAGAAGCTGGACCGGGCCAAACACAAACATACATGCTAACCTTTCAAGGTAAGCTTCTACCACCAAGTCTTCACAATAGTAAGTGATGTGGAGGATGTTGTCAGGTCTACCACTGCAACAAGGAACACCAGAAGCTGGACCGGGCCAAACACAAACATACATGCTAACCTTTCAAGGTAAGCTTCTACCACCAAGTCTTCACAATAGTAAGTGATGTGGAGGATGTTGTCAGGTCTACCACTGCAACAAGGAACACCAGAAGCTGGACCGGGCCAAACACAAACATACATGCTAACCTTTCAAGGTAAGCTTCTACCACCAAGTCTTCACAATAGAAAGTGATGTGGAGGATGTTGTCAGGTCTACCACTGCAACAAGGAACACCAGAAGCTGGACCGGGCCAAACACAAACATACATGCAAACCTTTCAAGGTAAGCTTCTACTACCAAGTCTTCACAATAGCTAGTGATGTGGAGGATGTTGTCAGGTCTACTACTGTAACAAGGAACACCAGAAACTGGACTGGGCTAAACACAAACATACATGCAAACCTTTCAAGGTAAGCTTCTACTACCAAGTCTTCACAATAGTAAGTGATGTGGAGGATGTTGTCAGGTCTACTACTGCAACAAGGAACACCAGAAACTGGACTGGGCTAAACACAAACATACATGCAAACCTTTCAAGGTAAGCTTCTACTACCAAGTCTTCACAATAGTAAGTGATGTGGAGGATGTTGTCAGGTCTACTACTGCAACAAGGAACACCAGAAACTGGACTGGGCTAAACACAAACATACATGCAAACCTTTCAAGGTAAGCTTCGACTACCAAGTCTTGACAATAGTAAGTGACGTGGAGGATGTTGTCTGTTTGACCAGTGCACGTAGGCGTATTATCGTATTGTAAAATACTATGCTTGTTTTATTTGTATTTGATTTTGGCAAATGACGGTTTCAACTGAAAGTTGACCAGAGGACAAGTTGTTGTTAGTAATTACATAGTTTCAATCGGAAGAACAGGTTAAAATAATACAAATAACAATATTCATAATGTATCAACAAATCACTCTTAATATAAACCGAACGGAACCAACCGAAGCATTGAGTTCTAGGTGATTCAGAATCTTCTAAAATCTGCAAGAGGGTATGTTTAATCTGATCTGATTCATATTTAAACTACCCATTAGCAGGCGATGGATGTTTGTCTGCAGGTTTGTGAGGACCCAGTGCTGGGACGACACCTAGTAGCTACTCGAGATATTGCCGTTGGGGAGGTCATCCTCAAGGAGCCTCCACTACTGCAAGGACCAAGTCAGGTGAGTCACCCAATGTCAAGTAGTCTTATAACATAAAAAACTTGTTTAATATAAGCTTACCTACGACCGTGTTTTTTAAGTAACCGTTTTAGTTAAGTTCTTAGAATTGAACATTTTTACATAACAGCATTGTTTACTTTCATAACAGCATAGTTTTACCATGTTTTACTCATAACAACAAGGGGACGGACTAATGATGTTCAAGGAGAGAGAAGAAGTAAAATTGTAATTATTCGAACTTCAACTAATCAGCTGTTCAGTCCAATTTAATTGTTGAGTGGTGCAATTTTTGTTTGGTACAATGTTTCGTTGCATCACTGTCAGTGGCAATGAGAGAATAAACGAAAACATGACCTCTCCTAGAATTTATTAGTGATTTTTAGTACCTAATTAAAACACTGTTGTAGGTAAAGTAGTATAACTCGCGTAAATAGTGTTAATGCAAACTACTATTTCTTGTGATATACAGTAACACATTCTTTCTCTTTAAAACGAATGTGATGGTACAAATCCATAAGTGTTTGTATTGTATTTCGTCACACTGTGGCAAAAACTGCAGTTATCAATGTATTTGTTGACTAAAGTAGGCTAATGCTTTTAAAATCCCTAGAATAAAACATAATCAGCATTGGCATTGGCGATAAAATAATGTAACAATCAATACCAACCGAAATAATTTGACATTTTTCAGATTTTGTTTTTCATATTGTTCAAATAACAATCAATTATTGTCAATTTACACGAGCTGATTGAACCGGCTTCCTTTTTAAAACGGTAAATTATTTTTTTTAATTACAACGAAAACTATTCAAGTAATACACGTTGTAAATAGAGTCTAGTTAGGCTTTGAAAATACAGTAATCCAAAATCAAAGTTATTCCTTGCATTACCTTACAGACGGTTATTGTTTTACTTGTAGACTATACGATTTACTTGGCACTATTGACATTGGACTATTTGCTCACCTCCCGAGCAATCGTGCGAATTATAAATAGGAAACATAAAACAGAACAGAAATTAACATTTCCACGAGGCGTATGATTTGCTAAGCCAATTTAAACGTTGTAGTTATGAGGTGTAGAATTCTATTTAGTTGTCACTGGAGCTTGCCAACTGTCTTCTGCATTTAAAACTTCCGCCCACAACCCTAGTTAAACACACGTTGGCAAACTCAGCTCACATACAAGTCCTTATTGTCACTGTGATTAAAGCTAATGGTTTTATTGACACGAAGCCAGAGTATTCTTTACGGCATCTCATATAGTAGGAGTAAAACTTACAAATCAAATTAGTTTTGATTGTAAAAGGACGATTCTTCAAACCAGGTTTTACACGTAGATCCCTTGTCAGAATCAGGCCCAGGTTGACTTTACGTCCAAAGCTAAACTGAATGTTTGTACCCTCTAACCAAGATGGTTAACTAATTAGCACACCCCTGAGGGAACAGAGCAATTTCCTTTTTGCGAATCAATTTTCCAGAGCCATTGCGAACAGGTTAACCCAAAATAAAGTAGATAATAAAATCGATTTTACAGTAGATTCTATGAAGATTTTTCTAATTACTGTTAGTCCAGTCAAGGAATGAGGTGTAGAGTGCGTGAGCAGGTAACTAAGCGATTCCTTCAGAAACTTGTTCAGGGGGCTTAGGGTGTTAACATACCAAAAGTCCTGACTCCTAGGTGGTGAGCCAGGGGGTGGAGGGGGGAAAAAGGGGGGGGGAAAGGTACGCATTTTGGGTTTTTTGATTATATCTCGAAAACTATCAACTTTTTGTATACTATAGTAAATTATAAAATTGAAGAAGATTAAATTTTCTACAAGAAAAGTATATAATGTGTTTATTTTGGTTCTACAGATTACGAGTTATAACTTATTTAATTGACATATTATTAAAATACTCCTTCCATAAGAAATACATGTAAATTAGTATGCGAAATGGGGCGAATCCTATCCGCCCAAAGGAAATATAAATGATATTCTGGAAATCTTGACAAAATTTCCAGTCATTTGACACTTTAATCATTAAAATTGATCCAAAATTAAGGCGAGGGTGAGCGTTTAAAAATGGGATGATTTAAGGTTTTTTTTATATTTCCAATAAAAAAACACCAAAACTCGATATTTTGTTACCTCGCCCTCGCCTTAATTTTAGATCAATTTTAATGATTAAAGTGTCAAATTACTGGAGATTTTGTCAAGATTTCCAGAATATCATTTATATTTCCTTTGGGCGGATAGGATTCGCCCCATTTCGCATACTAATTTACATGTATTTCTTATGGAAGGAGTATTTTAATAATATGTCAATTAAATAAGTTATAACTCGTAATCTGTTGAACCAAAATAAACACATTATATACTTTTCTTGTAGAAAATTTAATCTTCTTCAATTTTATAATTTACTATAGTATACAAAAAGTTGATAGTTTTCGAGATATAATCAAAAAACCCAAAATGCGTACCTTTCCCCCCCTTTTTCCCCCCTCAACCCCCTGGCTCACCACCTAGGAGTCAGGACTTTTGGTATGTTAACACCCTAAGCCCCCTGAACAAGTTTCTGAAGGAATCGCTTAGTTACCTGCTCACGCACTCTACACCTACTTTTGGATCATTCATTGACTGGACTATGTACTTTGATTTAATTTTGAACTAGGTTTTTGGGAATCAGAATTCGGATTTGAGATTTTGTACCGAACCCTGACTGTATCTCGACTTGACATCCCTAAAGGTCAATATGATCCTACTGAAGACGCTCTAGGTGAAGCACCTGGTGTGACTAGAGGATAATCCAGCCCTGGTCAGACCCATGCATGTCCTTCGTCATTAATTATACCTACTGGCTAGATAACCATGAATACATATTTACCGTGATGAATTGTAACTCATCAGGTAGTTACAAAGCTGTCATCACATTACTCGTTAACTCATCTTCGCTTTGAAAACGCACCTTGGTGTGTCGGCGTTGGCACGAATATCGTGGGTGAGAATATAGCAGATACTGCGATGTAGGCCTATTTACAGTCTGGTTCTATAATCTAAATTACGTTCGAATGGCTTTGTCGTTAATAGTAAGCCCCTTGTGTATTGGTCCTGTTATTGCCTTGACAGGTGACAGGTCCGGTGTGTCTGAGCTGTCTACAGGCTGTGTCACAACACAATTCTGAGCCCTGCTCACAGTGTGGCTGGCCGTTGTGTCTCAAACCGAAATGCAGAGAGTCCAAACAACACCTGCCCGAGTGTCGGTGGACCATGGACAAGAGAAAGAATCCAGTGAGTCAATCCCAGCTACTTAGGGGGTTTCGTGCTAAGTTTGAAGACTGGGTTATTTGACTGAACCTTGTTATGCATGTGTATCTGAATTGTAGAACTGTGAAGAGAGAAGAAGTGAAAGAAGAGGATGCTCTAGATAGTAGGAGAGCCAAGTAATTCTAGAACTGAGTTACACACCAAGCTTTGTTGTTGAACTCAAATGAGACTCATTGCTCAGTAAATTAGATATTTCTGTCCAGTTGAAAAAAAGATTTAGGGATAAAAAAAGCTTAAGAGCCAAGAGGATCGTCAAATTGTTTGAGATGAATAGGCTACTTCTTCTTCTCGGTTATATTTTTGATTGCCATTATTATTACAATGATAAGCAATATGGGTGTGCCCCTGAACACCAGGAAACATACATAAAAATGTTCAGGGGCACAGTCATATTGCTAGGGATGTATACAAAATTTTATCTAGAAACAAACAAGTATCAAGTCATACCAAACCCCAAGATTTCATTATGAATAGTCTGAAACATTTTTTAAATGTTGTAGTAGAAGTCTCATTTCAATTATTGGATCTTGCGTATTCCAAAACCTACATCATATTTTATAGGCTTACTCCTGGATAAGAGTTGACAGAATAATATTGTTTTTTCTTGATTGGAAAGTCGAGTTAGTTTTAAAGATGTTATTGTTATCAGATAAAGTAAGAATGATATGTGGTGAAAATTTGCTCAATTTGGCAACTTTTCATCATGATTCATTTACCCTTTCCATGAACAACAAGAACAATTTACATTGTTTGCTAACACGGAGTGTTGCCTCTCAGGTAAAGATCTCGCAGTTCATAACTCCACACCCGAGCTACGAGTGTATCACGACCTTGCGACTGTGCTACGCCAAGCGACACAGCCCTGGACTGTGGGGCAGACTGTGCAAGCTGCAGTCGCACACAGAGGAGCGACGAGGCACACACAAGTACAAGGAAGACACCAGGACCGTCGCTCAGTTCCTCCGCAGGTTCTACAAGCTGGAGGACGAGTTTAGTGACGAGGACATCATGGATATCTGGGGAATCATACAAGTGAGTTCGACATCAGGGCTTTATTTCTTTTCTTGAGTTTATACCAGTGGCATTTTTAATGAAGTAAATTCAACGCATAACCTATGCCAACTCATTAAATGTTTGTGGATGTGCCGGGAATTGAACCAGTTAGCATTCGCAAACAATCTGAAGAGGAGAAAGTCCTAAAACAGCCCCGAGGAATTAACACGAAATAAAAGGATAATATTAACAGTCGCACATTACGAAAGGATAAGATGTTGACTTGGCTTTTCCCATTTAGTTATCCACCGATGCCACAGTTAAAAATTAATTGTTCTTGACGTTGAATGCATTTTGGCAAACTGTTGGACATGTCGCCAATTCTGTAGGGGTCCTTGTTGACTTTAAGTCACTGGAACGGATTTGAGCGAATTTCTCATATAGGGAATAAGCTATTTTGTTTTAGGTCCCCAGAGGCCAAAAACACCATAGAGGTATTAGAGGTCCATTTAGAAATTCACCAATGCTGTAGTAGGCTTGATTCGAAGATGACTTTGCAATTTATACACGAGTTATTAAAATTGCCTTGACCATGGATACATTTAGAAAATTTGCTGCACCTTTTACTACAGTAGTAGTTGTAGTAGGTTTCTTGACATGTCAATGAAATGTTGAATCTTTTGTACCTTTAACATTGATTTTGTTTGCCTGACCAGTTTTGTAATGGTCAGCTTGAAAATGTGTTGATTAACACGTTTCAATTTGTAGAGTTAAAGCGGATTCTATAAACAAAAAATGTCAAAAATTCCCCAAAGTTTTAGGTCTTGTAAATGATTTTCTAAGCAGACGCACGAGTTTTATTAAATAGCCGGTTCTATTGTCAGGTCAACGGCCACGAAGTACCTCTCACCCAGCCAGCCCACGTCGCTGTCTACGACCTCTCCTCCATGTTGGAGCATAGCTGTCACCCCAACTGTGCCAAGAGTTTCGCTAGTGATGCTAGCCTCGTCCTCCGCGCCGTGGTCAAGGTGTCCGCCGGGCAACATCTCTCCATCTGCTACACAGACTGTCTCTGGGGCACGGTGAACCGACAGTACCACCTGCGGGACACAAAGTTCTTTACCTGTCAGTGCCCGAGGTGTCTCGACCCGACCGAGATGGGCACTTACTTTAGCGCCATTCTATGCGAAAAAAGGTAGGAGACTTCACCATGGTAGACTGAAAAGCATAGATTCCTCCTAGTGAAACTGTACTTAAAGATGACGGATCGTTTATTAATGACTAACTAGTGTACATGTTGCTCGAATTCGAGCAATTGTAAGTATTACAGGAGTTATTCCAAAACGAATAACGGTCATATTTACAATGAGTTTAAAAGATTCAACTCAAAGATTAACGGCGTGTAACTCAGAACATGATTATCTTCGTTATTGATAAACCTACAGCATTCCGGCCGGTTTTCTCCTTCTCAAAATACCTCGCTGTACAGGCAACACAGGTCATTGATAGAGGACCAATTGAGGACGAAAAGTCGTTTTGGGATAGTGTTAGGGTGCATTTGTAACCTAATAGTTGAGATTGTTCAGGGTCAGGTGCTGACTGTGATGAGTTAAGCCTATTACGCGCCCCTGTTCTGTAGCTGCGGTCATTAACACGCCTCCTGTCTATGTTTCGCTGTTGTCACGTCGGAGGCATTTAAAAGAAAAAAACAACAAATAAACAAACTATAGCCACACAAACACAAAACAACGATAAATGCACAAATTTAAGGGGTACACTTCCATATCTGTTGGCACAAACAACCGAATGAAAATATCGATCGATATATCGTTTGGTTAGAAAAAAACAACAAATAAACAAATTATAGCCACACAAACACAAAACAACGATAAATGCACAAATTTAAGGGGTACACTTCCATATCTGTTGGCACAAACAACCAAATGAAAATATCGATCGATATATCGTTTGGTTAGTTAGGTAAGGTTAACTTAACCTAACCAACCAAACGATATATCGAATTAAACAATCGAATAACCAATATTACTCATTCGGTTGTTTGTGTCAACAGATATGGAAGTGTACCCAATTTAAGTTACAATCATGATAACACGATCCGTCATAGTGACACAAAACAACGATAAATACACAAATTTAAGATACAACCATACTAACACGATCCGTTTTGGGTGTTATGTTTACACAAACTCAAATAGTAAATATTGAATTGAAACATAAATAACAGCAATTAAATTATACAGCTGATCAAAATGTAAACAATTATGTTCTTCATAAGGATAACATGGGATCTTTCAAAGCCACTGGGGCAGAGCCCCAGGGGACTATTTCAAAAATGTAAGGCCAGTTTGCAAATCTACGCGACACGCTCTTTCCAATGAGACGTCAATGGATAAAATCGGTTAAGAAATGGCGGAGGAGTTCAACCGACAAAGTTTCATGTAGCGTATTAATTATATAGACTAGTGTACATGTTGCTCGAATTCGAGCAATTGCAAAGTATTACCGGAATTATTTCAAAACGAATAACAGTCATACTTACAATGTGTTTAAAAGAGTCAACTCAAAGATTACCGGTGTGTAACTCAGATCATGTTTATCTTCGTTATTGATAAACCTAAAGCAATCCGGCCGGGATTCTCCGTCTTAAAATGCCTCGTTGTACAGGCAACACAGGTCATGATAGAGGACTAATGAGAACGAAAAGTCGTTTTGGGGTAGTGTTAAAGGGCGCATTTGTAACCTAATACTTGAGTTTGTCCAGGGTCAGGTGCTGACTGTGATTAAGCCTATTACCATAGATTAAAAGAAGTACTCATTTTATCAATCATACCAATATCAATATCAAGTATTGATATAAATATATTGATATAAGTACTCCTTTTATCTATGCTATTACGCAGCACACTGTTCTGTAGCTGCGGTCGTTATCACGATTACGCGTCCTGTCTATGCTTCGTTGTCGTCGCGTCGGAGGCATTAAAAAAACAACAAATAAACAAATTATAGCTACACAAAACAACGATGAATGCACAAATTTAAATTACAATCATGCTAACACGACCCGTCGTAGCGACACAAAACAACGATAAATATACACACAAATTTAAGATACAACCATGCTAATTCGATCAGTCTTTGGGGTTATGTTTACACAAACTCAAATAGTAAATAAATGTAGCCTACTCAATGCGTTTCATTGAATTGAAAAATAAACTAGGTGGCGTTCGCAGAAGCATCCACAAAATTGAGCGGAGTCGTCAATGGTTCATATTATATTGTTTTTGTCATACTGCAGTGAAAACAGTCGTCATTGATGCATGCGTTGCGGGTCTAAAGTAGCATTTTTACTCTTTAGGAAATAAAATTCGTTTTTAGCCTCAATGGAGTAAAACTCAGCTGTTGTCAACTCAGTTGTAAATTTCTATTGTAAACGATTGAATACGTATCGAATTATGTAACGATTCGTGCTTCATAATCATTTTAACCTACAGTCTACAGTCTCTTCCCATAGCATTTTAGCATTGTAGATACATTAATCCATTCCCACACTCAACACTGCCCACCTTTACTACTTCCTTCACCACCCCCTACGTCGTGGACCTGTTTCCGTCTCTTACCATAGCATTTTAGGATTGCAGATACATTAATGTAATTGCCAAAGACAGTTCCCACACTCTGCACTGAAAGGCTTACTAATTCCTTCACCATTTCCTACGTCATACACATGTTTCCTTCCCTTCTCACAGCATTTAAGTATTAGATACATTTATCTAACTGCCCAAACGGTTCCCTCACTCTGCACTGCCAGCCTTTACTACTTCCTACGTCGTGGGGGATGTTTCCTTCCCTTCTCATAGCATTTTATGATTGAAGATACATTAATCTAACTGCCACAGACGGTTCTCAACATATGTTCATACCTGATTCCTAAGCCACTTCCTACATCGTGGACCTGTTTTCATCACTTTCCATAGCATTTTAGGAATTTAGATACGTTAATCTAATTGCCACAAACATTGCCCACACTCCGCACTGCTAGCCTTTACTACTTCTTTCACCATTTTCTATGTCGTGGGCATGCTTCCATCCCTTATCATAGCATTTCAGCATTGCAGATACATTAATCTAACTGCTACAAACGGTTTCCAGTTCCCAAACTCCACACTGCTCACCTTACTACTTCCTTCACCTCTTCTTACGTCGCAGACATGTTTCCCTCTCTTCCCATAGAATTTTAAGATTGTAGATACCAAGATACCATAATCTAATCGTCATAAACAGTTCCCACACTCCGAAAAACTCGCCTTTACCACTTCCTTCATCTCTTCCTACGTCACGGACCTGTTTACCTCCCTTCCCATAGCATTTTAGGATTGGGGATACCTTAATCTAATCGTCGTAAACAGTTACCACACTCCAAAAAACTCGCCTTTACTGCTTTCTTCATCACTTCCTACGTCACGGACCTCTTTACTTCCCTTCCCTTAGCATTATTGGAATGCAAATACCTTAATCTAATAGTCATAAACAGTTTCCACAATCCGCACAGCTCGCCTTGACTACTTCCTTCACCACTTCCCACGTCGCGGACCTGTTTTCCTCCCGTCCCATAGCATTTTAGGATTGTAGATACCTTAATCTAATAGTCACAAACAGTTTCCACACTCCGGACAGCTCGCCTTGACTATTTCCTTCATTACTTCCCACGTCGCGGACCTGTTTTCCTCCCTTCCCATAGCATTTTAGGATTGCAAATACCTTAATCTAATGGTCATAAACAGATCCCATACCCCGAACAGCTCGCCTTTACTACTTCCTTCACCACTTCCCACGTCGCGGACCTGTTTCCTTCCCTTCCAATAGCATTTTAGGATTGCAGATACCTTAATCTAATTGTCATAAACAGTTCCCACTCTCCGGACAGCTCGCCTTGACTACTTCCTTCACCACTTCCTACGTCGCGGACCCGTTTTCCTCCCTTTCAATAGAATTTTAGGAATGCAGATACCTAAATCTAATCGTCATAAACAGTTTCTCCACACTCCGGACAGCTCACCTTGACTACTACCTTCACCACTTCCTACGTCGCGGACCTGTTTTCGTCCCTTCCCATAGAATTTTAGGAATGCAGATACCTTACTCTAATCGTCATAAACAGTTCCCACACTCCAGGCAGCTCGTCTTGACTACTTCCTTCACCACTTCCTACGTCACGGACCCGTTTTCCTCCCTTCCCATAGAATTTTAGGAATGCACATACCTACCTAAATCTAATCGTCTTAAACAGTTTCCACACTCTAGACTGCTCACCTTTACTACTTCCTTCGCCACTTCCTACGTCACTGACCTCAAGCTAGTGTCGTCATTTGATTATATTTATGATCCATACCACCGTTTATGTTCTAATATCTGTGGAATAATGCTATCAGCTATTATTTATCTACTGCATTCAAAAGTCAACAGCTGATCATATGTCTTTGTTTATGTGTCAAATACTGATTCCATAAGGATTACATTGAAACTTTGAGACCCAGTGGGGCGGATTCCTGAGAGACTTTTTTAACGCCGTATAGATGTTGGCACTCACCGATATGGTCTTTATCACCATGCAAAATTTGAAAACGATTGATTCAGCCGTCTAGGAGGAGTTTGCGTATTACGAAATGCATAAAAGTCGATGTATAAGAGCTTCGCTCGCTTCGCTCGCTCCGCTCAATAACAGCAATTAAATTATACAGCTGATCAAAATGTAAACAATTATGTTCTTCATAAGGATAACATGGGAACGTTCAAAGCCACTGGGGCAGAGCCCAAGGGATTTTTTCAAAAATGTAAGGCCAGTTTGCAAATCTACGCGACACGCTCTTTCCAATGAGACGTCAATGGATAAAATCGGTTAAGAAATGGCGGAGGAGTTCAACCGACAAAGTTTCATGTAGCGTATTAATTATATAGATGTGACACTGGGCAATAAAAACATGATGACTCGAATATTTGTTATAAAACAGAGTTATTTTGTATGAGTCCAAAATGTAATATCGTAGCCTAAATTTTAAAGACTCATCACTTTGTGCTAGGTCAGTGCAAAAGTTAAAGAAATAATTTACAAAAAATAAAAGCCAAACCTGTGTTAAATCAAATTATAAAACATAAAAATTCTTCAATTGAGGTAGAGGGCTGTGTATAATGAATGCAAATGTGAGATGAATGGTTCAGTATTTTTGTTATTATGTTTCTTTTCAATAGACATGCAACACTTCCATAATCTTACGTACAATAATCTCAAACCAACCAAACAACCAAGAATGACAACAAACATTTATTATCAGTATTTATTTGACCTATTGGTCGAGGTAGAGGTAGTGTTGGTGTTAGTGTTGGTGGTTGTGGTGTCCATCACGGTGGACGTCTCGGACTCGTCTATTGTCATGGAGGCTCTCGTCACTTTCGTCTCTCTCGCTGGGACCTCTTTCTCTTTCCGCCGTCTGTGTGTATGATGGACGACTGTTGGCGGGATTTTGAACGGGATGTCCTCCAATTCCGTGGTACCTAGCGCCAAGTGGGGAGCGCACTGGTCAACCATCGCCCGAATCTGCTTCAGGTCTGTCTGTTGAGAATCGCGACTGTAGCAAGAAGCAGCCACCGATGCTAGATCTCTGGTCATCTCATTACCCAAGCTCTTCTGTAACGTTGCCAGTATTGTGGGTGGTGCGTCCAACTCACCTGGTGGTTTGAGATCGTCGATGTCAGTGAGGCCAGTCAGGTAGGCGTCGTCTACTGATAACCACGGCGAGGGGGCTACAGGATCTTGATTGCGAAGTGGAGGGTCCAGAGGGTTCCCGACTCTCCTGTCCTCCCTCTCATCCAAGTCTCTCTCACTCAGCTGCAGAATGACGACGCAGTTGCAACTCACTGCTAGCAGCTCCATCCGGGTCCATGACGACTCGACACAAGATGTAGTCGCATCGCTACGCTCGCTGGCGTTGGTGAATCTTGTGTCAGTTCTAGTTTCATGACGACCAGAACCTTGACCAATACTGGCCAACGTTGGAAGCCTATAAAGACCGGGCGTCGTAGTTTTAACACTTTCTGTATCTTGCTTACTATTTGAGGTATTTGCTGTATGAGTACTCGACAGACCGTTGCTGTTATCACTTTTTGAGTCCAACTTCTCCAGCCAACGGGAGTCAGATGTGCTTGTACTACTCTCTAATCCACTAGAACTAGCAGTCGTCACGGTGCGGGGAGAAAACACGAACTCAGTCGAAGATTTCCTCGGCATAACAAAAGGTGGCTTACACGTCACAGGACCGGGATAAAAAGATTGCACCCCGAACTCTGGGGTTCTCGCCAAAGCTCCGTGAACGGGGAAAAGAAGGGGAAGCGATTGCATGCACGTGTGTTTTACCAGGTCCCAGACTTTAACAACTGTATCTTTGCTAATGCTTATAAGTACGCTTAGATGTCTAAGAATACGAACGTCTACGATACAAGTCTTGTGGCCAAACAAAGACGCGACCGGTTTCTTTGGGATTATGGGGTTCCACAGTCTAACGACGCTGTCTTTTCCTCCTGTGGCCAAGAGCCTCAGCGAGCGATCTAGATGGAAACATCTCACTCCTCGAGTTATCTTGAACACGTAAGGAGCCCGCCGACCGACGATGTAACGGATGATCACTGTGGTGCTCGGGTCGTTACTGCAGCTGACGACGGTGTTGTTGTCGCTAAAGTATTCCACTCTGTGGATCTCGTCTTTGTGGATTCCTTGATCCATGGTGATCGTCACCCACGCTTTCTGTGAGCTCAGTTCTTTCCAGAAGTACTCGTCAAAAGAATCGTTGCTCGTTCGTTTAAACAGAGCGTATTGTGGCTGATGGAAGTAGACAGTGGCGATGGATCCCTGGTCGTCCCCCACTAGCAGCATGGACACGCTGTCTGCCACTCCCGGTGTGTAGTGCAGGCACGTAGGTGTGTTGGGGAGGCCTGAGATGCGGTAGACAGGCACACACACCAGTCCAGACATAGAGTAGAAGTGTAGACTCCGGTCACTCGCTGCCACTAGGAGTGTCGCGGCGTCAGTCATGTGCACCGCGTCAACCACCCACGTCGTCCTTCGTACCTCTCCTCCGGCTGTCGTAGCTATCTGGGTACTCAGTCTCACCTCGTATTGCTCCAACAGACTCATGTTCCAGTCGTATATCCCCACCTTGCCGTACTTGGACACGACCACGTAGCAGAACGACTTGGCCGTCTCCACCACCACCACTCTTACTATCGTCTCCCTCCTGCAGTGAGACATTGCGTGGAGACTACAGAACGACTCCTTCACAATGTCTCCAGGCCGTGACTTTGTCTTTTCCGACATAAAGTCTATCAGTTCATCCAGTAGCTGCTCCCACCAGAGGTATCCCGTGTGTTCCTCCGCGTTATTCTTCACCAGAAGCTCGAACAAATCCTCAGCAGCATCATTGTACTGCGAGGTGGCCATTACACTTTGTATCGCTGATAGAAACTCATCTTTGTTCAATTTGAATCCACAAAAACGAGGGTGCGCACTTCCTTTTGGCTCTTTGATCTTTTCGTCGACCTTTTTCTCGTAAAAGTGTGCTCTCAAGGCGGTCAACTCTTCACTGTTGAGGTTGTCTAGTAACTCAGTTACATCTGGTACGTGTGATTTACGGAATAAAGAGGGTGAACTAACGAGACCTACTATGTTGCGTGTTGAGGCCTGTATCTCTTGTTCTAGTCGAGTTTCAGCTTTTTGGTCGATTGATGCTATATCTTCAGTAGCGGCTGTCACGTCTGTATCTCCCATTTTATTATTGTTGGCCTTGCCACTGAAATATAAATATTTTTAAGGTTTTAACTTAGATGAACCACTAACAAAGTGTTAGCAACCATGTAAAATTCTAAACTTCAATCCAATGTAGTAAACAAACATAAATAATTAATGTTTGTTTACTACATTATTCTCATTTTATGGTTGGAATCGTACACATGTTTATAATCAGATGTTCCAAAACTTGCAGGTTTCACTAAACAAAAATTCAATCGCTACTTTATGTACCACCAAATAACTTTGAAACAGTTTTTGTGTTTTATAATAAGAGTCAAAGGATAATTAATTACCCTGTTATTAAATGATCCTGCCACTTTAAAATAACCTTTATATGACACGAGATAACTACATTCAACCCTTGTGTTATAGTGACTGCTCGGGTACTATGCTACCAGCCAGTCTGTGCTCCTTGGTGGAGGCTACACCTTGGACCTGCGACTCGTGCGGTCATGTCGTATACGACTCCCAGGTCGAGGCTACGCTGCAACAGGTTCGTACAAATATTATTGACTCTGAATAGTAAAAGTAGCCTTTTCATCTAAGGTGAACGATACAAATAACTTACAAAAGTGTTTGAAAAACATCCTATGCTTACACAAATTTTCAAAATACAAGTAAACGAGCTTCAAAAGGAGACAAAACAGAGGTATTCATATTCGTGTTGTCTGTTGCATTCTTGTTGCAATGTAGGCTGGCCAGGAACTTGCCACTCTGCAGTCCAAGAACCTCTCAGAGTCGACGAAGTTCCTGGAGAAATGGAGGTCCAAGTTTCACCAGAACCACTTCTACCTGACCGAGGTGAGGCTGGCGATCGCTGAGAGGATGGGCCAAGAGACTCCGCAGGGTATACGGGGTTTGTCTCCAGAATGCCTCCAGTACAAGGTCAACCTTACAAGGGACTTGCTGGAGCTGCTGTCTCTCATAGCACCAGGTGAAACATTTGCTCGTTTAACTGTAAGTTTTAGAAACTTGTATTTTCAACTAGGACGAATACTAGGGATGGTGGAAGGAACTTCTGGACAGCGGCATGGTGCTGGCTTAATCAGAAGATCGCTAAGGAATGGCTGTAGACGTTCTATTGGTTTGAAAATGAGCCCAGTTATTATTGGACACTGAAATAACAAGAACTCAAATAAACTCAATATGAGTTACAATATGAGTCAGGGACCTGGTAGGCTTTGGTGTCCGAATTATTGCAATAACATTTACTTGGGAGTAAATACTATGCTGGGTTACCTATTAGTTGCCATAAAATCTGACCAAGGTTAGGATAGTTCCCTTACGAAAAAGAATAAAAACGACATTAGTGACAAAACACATAGGCAAAATAAAAACATGTTCTGTTCAAATAACATTGTTAAATAACAATGTCTTCCTGCATACAATTTACTGGCCATGAATGCGTGTAAACAGGCTTCTCTGTGGTGTAAATAAACTATGCAATTCGGCGATAGTCCCACATGGCCCAATGATTTGAGGGTAGAGGAAATAAGTTTACAACTTGCGCAGCAGCATCGACTATTGGATCCTGGCGATCTTGTAAACTTGTGAGACTCGTAGCTTGTTATTCAATTCCGATTTAAGCTCAGCATGTGTTTGTCCCTCAGGCGAGACCAGAGTGTTGGGGATGCTCAATTTCGGCCTCCACGCATGTTTAGCTGAGCGTGCTCGTCGCGACCACCTTCAAGGCCACGACCAGTTCTACTCGGCTCTTATGGTTAGTGAATTCTTACCCTTCCATAACAGTTGCCAACTTAATAGACACTTATCGCAATTTCTTTAACTTAGTTTAAACAGTATATTAATATAATCTTACTCTGATTGCAATTAAAATCCGAGAAAAGTATTTGACCTGAAAAAATAATACCTCCACTTCTTTCGGTCCTTTGCATCTTCAAGAGCTCTCAACAATATAAATATTTTGGTTACTTTATATTTCCACCATTTTTGTGGGTGCTGAGAGGGTTTTACTTAATCCAAAAATTGCCCTTCCTAATTGGTTTTATCATTGATTCGTCTCCTCTTCTAATAAATACCTGGTCTTTTGCTTCAACGACCACGTATGATACCGATTAGTACAGACTGATTAGTTTCATTTTATTTTAAAACTTTAAAGGAATTTAATCAGCATACAGGAACTATTTACAGTGCAAATTAGAGTCTAAAATAGTTTTCTTAAAATATATGCCATACAATATGTTATTTACGTCTTTTTGTTCAACAGGAATCTCTCGAGTGTCTGGACAAGACGATATTTTTCTTAGCGGTGGAGCCAGAGGTTTTGCCTGAAGGGAAATTGTTGCTGCAGGCAAAACAGAATAAAGCAGAACTACTAAATACGCTACAAAACATCCAAATGTGCGCTAGTATGGCATCTCCCATGTGACAGTAAACTATGAAACAAACTGGCAAACATCAAATTAGGCATTGTTTAGCAGTTGCTCTGTTTCCATATGCAGGGTAAACTGTGGAATATTCACCAGTCTTTGACAATCACTCGAAAACAAACTACAGATCATCCAGCTGTACGAGATGCGCCGCTCATTCTGAGACAATAACTCGAGATCAAACTGCAGATCACCCAGCTGTACGACATGGGCCACTCATTCTGTGACAATCACTCGAGAACAAACTGCAGGTCATCCAGCTGTACGACATATGCCACTCATTCTGTGACAATCACTCGAGAACAATCTGCAGGTCACCCAGCTGTACGACATGGGCCACTCATTCTGTGACAATCACTCGAGAACAAACTGCAGATCACCCAGCTGTACGACATGGGCCACTCATTATGTGACAATCACTCGAGAACAATCTGCAAGTCATCCAGCTGTACGACATGGGCCACTCATTATGTGACAATCACTCGAGAACAAACTGCAGGTCATCCAGCTGTACGACATGGGCCACTCATTATGTGACAATCACTCGAGAACAATCTGCAGATCACCCAGCTGTACGACATGCCACTCATTATGTGACAATCATTCGAGAACAAACTGCAGATCACCCAGCTGTACGACATGGGCCACTCATTATGTGACAATCACTCGAGAACAAACTGCAGATCACCCAGCTGTACGACATATGCCACTCACTATGTGACAATAACTAGAGAACAAACTGCAGATCACCCAGATGTTAGATCATCTTCTGTAGTTGTCAACAGCGTTTAAAGAGATTTCACTTGTTTCCTTTAACAGATTTTCCGTCTGTAAAAAATTTTAATTTGTTGTCATCAATTTAAGGCAAACTATAGATACCAGTATTCCTTTTTAGTGTAGACGGTAATAATTTTTTTAAGTGTGTGTTTTTTAATACATCCAATTCATATTTTCTAGCGTTACCATTTTTCTGTTTGAAAACAATGTTTATACAAGGTGCATATGTTGGGATATAATTGACGTAGTGATTCCTTGGGTCAAAATAAAGAGAAAATCAAGAAAAACATTTTTCCAAAATCCAGATAACCAGATATTCACCATTTTGTATTTTTTACATACACATTTTTATCTCTGGTTTTTTCAACCGATCTTTATGAAACTTGTTATGTATGTTAAGGTAGAAGAGGCCCATGTAAGAAAAACAATTCCTTTTGATTCGAATTAAAATCTTAAAATGGCGGCCTTTTAAACTTCAATTACTCAAAAACGGCTGATTTTATGAAAAAATGTCATAAAGACTTTTAAAACTTTTAACTTCCTATCAAACTGTACCAAGTGCAAAACAATCGAATAAGAAATAGCTGAAATATTACGATTTTTAGTATTAAAATGGTAATAAAAGGCAGAAGCTCAGGTTTGCCCATTTCACAACTAAAAATCGAATTATTTAAGCTACAGTATTTCTTAATTGATCTTTTTGCACTTGGAAATTAAAAATGCTATATACAAGTGTTCTTAGCATTTTTTCATAAAATGAGCCCTTTTTTGGTAATTTAAGTTTAAAAAACTAAAATGGCCGCCATTTTAAAATTTTAAGTTGAATTAAGATGACATTTTTTCTAACATGGGTCTCTTTACTAACATACATACCAAGTTTCATAAAGATCGGTGAAAAAAATCCAAAGATAAAATTTTTATGTAAAAAATAAAAATTGCGGATATCTGGTTAACGAAGTGATTTTGGGGAAAATGTCATTCTTGATTTTCTCTTTGTTTTTACCCAAGGAAAACACGTGAATTATATCCCCACCTTTTTTTAACACCCTTTATACGTTTTTTTCATACCTTATCCATCCTTTTTATTTATTTAAAGAAAAAATCAAGTAAGGGAGCTACAACCTAATACTAGTACTTAGAATAATACACAACACTTTAAACTTAAATATTCATAGGCTGGATGAAATCCAACCAACAGTCCCTTCACATGGTGCTATAGGCAATATGGGCACAGCATTCATTTTGCGTTACAGATACTGTATTGCATGCACAAATTGGTTATAATCGCATTATGTTTTATACTAATGGCACGTTCCTAATTACTTTTCATGAGAATTCTGCTTTCATATGGTGTGGTATTGTAATTTTTAACTAAAATAAATAAAACGAACTCAATAACATAAGATATTATTATCTCATTTATTTATTTTATTTTAGAAAAGAGGGTCTTTAATCTGTTAGAAGCCTATCCATTCAAAAAATTTATACGTCGACTTTTGTGTATTTCGTAATACCGGTAATACGCAAACTCCTCCTAGACGGCTGGAGCAATCATTTTCTTAGGGCAAAATTTCAATTTAACCCTTATGGGAGCAGTATTTGACAAAAAACAAAGGCATAAGATCAGCTGTTGACTTAAAGGAATGGTTGTAACAGTTATCAAAGATATAAGAACAGAAACTGTATGGATCATAAACATAAACAACTGATGTCACTAGTTCGAACCAATAATGAGATAAACATATGGTTTGGATGTTTTTTGACAAATACAATTTACTAGCTGTTGTACCCCCGCTTTGCAACGGGAAGAGGACCTGAAATCGAAACATTTTGATCTTTACATCTGTTGTATAAAATATACACATCCGCTAACGCTTTTACAAACAAAATTCAACCCTAATGGTCTTTGTGGCAGTGCGGAAAGGGGCCAGGTTTCTGCACTGTCAGAAAGGGACCAGGATTCTGCACTGTACGTAACAACAGGCCTAATGAGAGTTTTGTACAGCTTCATCTTTGTCTTGCGGGGCATCAGCTTGGATTTCAGGATCTTAAGGTTAGCATAGTATGCTCTGTTACCAGCCATGATTCAGTTTGTGATTTCTTGCGCAACAGTGTTTTTGCTATTCAACTCTGCCCCAAGGTAAATAAACCTATCCACACCCTTAACACATTTGTTATATATATTTAGTGCTTATTAGTTAATTTACACATGAAATTGAGCATTTAAGATGGCAGACTAAACTAATGATTATCAAAACATCAAGATCAAGGACGAATAAAATTTAATAGTAATACTGTATATGTTTCATTGCATCTATGATTTTACTGTACAAAATATCAACGAACAATTCAACAGTTCTTATTTAGTCCCATAATCCTTTTTCATTACATTTTCACTCTTACCATTGAGTAAACACAGTAACAGACATACAGTAATTGATTTTAGAAACAAAATAACACTATGTACAGCTAAGTTTTATGATATTTTCCTTAGTTTGATTTAATCATTGGTGTAGCAAAACACAATTACTAAATTTACCTAAATAAAAAAAATTTGTGAAGTGTAATTTATGTTTAGTTTATCCAACACATGTTAAGCAGTTAGAAATTTAAAAAAAAAATGCCTCCAAATTCATACAAACCATCTAAACATTGTAATTTTCACAATGTTTGCATGAAAACATACCAATAACATTATTTTCATAACTACGCTTTAAAAAATCCAAAGCAGAGCCGGAGTTGATACAGCAACGGTTATAGAATATTTTTTTCTATAATCATTGACATAGTTTTAGAATAAATAATCCATGATAAAAGGTCGGATTAAAAAACCTACCTCATAGTTATGGAAAATATTATATTTAATCTCTTTGTATCAGCTGTCTGAAATTGTGAAATATGCAATTTAGCAGTTCTTCTTGTTTACATTGAAATGTCAAAGCAAATGTAAACAAACATTATTAGTGTTCTCATCGCAGCCATGGAGACAAATCAATATTTACTTTTAAAATCCTTACCTCAGAACTTTTAAAGCCAAAGGGGCAAAGCCCACGGTCAGTATCAAAGTGTGAATAGTCCTATAATGGTCCTTGGTATGGTAGTTATATTTTTTGTAAAAGTTTAGCCCAGTTGGTTTAGTAGTTTTTGCACCTATTAGTACACATACAGACAGACACCATATGATTTTTATATAATGGTTGAGTTTTGAATCTATAATTGATAACCGACTGCTTTCAACAGAGGATTTAAAGGACCATTTGACCATAGGAAAAGTCAGTACCTCTGATGTGTGGTTTGAGCTTATACCTAGTTCATCTTAGTTATAAGTCAGTATTTTCTCTTCTATAATTATGATCAATCAAGCAGTGTTACAGCATAAATCGACCAACATAGAATTTTAAAAAATAATCCGGTTTTCTATACAATATCACACAACAAATGTTTTACCGAATATTCACACGATTTGCTTTGTAAACCAACACGTTGTACACGGACAGAAGCATTGTTTCAAAATTGACACGGGAAATAATGTGGTTCCGTATATCACTTGAGAGCTCTACACTAACTGTTGGCAATATTTACTCTAAACAACGCTGCTGTTATTTACAAGTCTTTTATATAAATATTAGTCATTATACTTTAGTTTCAGCGAATTTTCCATATAGGGAATAAGGTATTACCGTAGGTTTCACAGTAGGACTTCACCCGGGACCGATTAACTTCTCGGTTTGATGTCCCCATAGACCCCCTGGGTTTCATGGGGTAAAAATTGACGGTTTCAATTGTGATCCCCAAAACTAAACTTATAGAGCTAAGAATAATATTTTTTAGTATATTGTACGCCCTAAAGTTACAGTGTAGATAAAAAAAAAACTATCATACGGCAAAAACAGCCGTTTAAATGCATGCGTTGCGGGTCTAGAGAGCAAGATCGATAGTCTAGAGTAGCATTGAGTAAAATGCGTTCTTAGCCCCTAGGGAGTAAAAATCAGCTGTTGTCAACTCAGTTGTAAATTTCGAGTGTACACAATTGCATGTATCGATTGCTTAATCGAATGTAGTTAATTATTGTTGCCTTATTGTAAATAGTTCGATATATCGATGGTATAATGTACACTAACACAGTCGTAATAAACGAAACGATCGAATCACTTACTAAACAGCTGCTTGTTTCCAGTAGTAAATATCATTTAAAACAAGTTAGAAGTAGTTTTGAGAGGTTATCTTTAAATGAACACTATTTAGTTTTGTAAAATAGTTTGTTCAAATAATGGTGCACTATAAAACAATTAGTTCATCACAAGGGCAAAAGTGTCTTTTCAACCCTCACTCATTTTAGCAAATTTCCCTATAGGGAAGTAGCTATTACCGTAGGTCTCATGGTAAGACCTAGGCCCGGGACCGATTTACTTTTTCATTTTGATGTCCCCAGAGGCCAAAAACACCATTCGTTCAAATTTTTATATATCTATATATAGAGATATATATATATGTGTCCATCCGCACGATAACTTGAGTAATTTTTGTCCGATTTTGATCAAATTTGGTTTGAAGGTGTAAGGCGGGATAAACTTGAACGAGTTCGCGAACCAGCGTGATCGGACTATGGGAATGGTGGTTTATGGGGGGTTTTATGGGGTAAAAATAGGTTTTTCCCATTTTTGACCCTAAAAACACAAAATTTCACAATTTCTTTTAAAATCATTTTGTAGAGCTTAAAAAAACAAATAATTTAGTATATTGAAGCGTTATTATGCGCCTAATTGTTACGGAGAAAATTCAAAAAAATTGTAATTTTAAAATTCCCATGTTATTCTTATGGAGAATAAGTCAACTGTTGTAGTTTGCTTGTTTATTAACATATGTTGATAAAATTTGGAAAATACATTAATTTCTTACTAAACCACAGTACCTTTTAACATTTTACATTTAAAAAACTTTTTTACCCTCCCTGTTGCAGCAAACCTAAGCACTAATTAAATTAATTCTGTATAAATAGGGAATAAATGTGATATTTTTAAGGAGACATTTAGTTTAAATCCAATCAGGCAAATGGAAATTCGCTAAGTCTGCAGGTTTGCTGCGGCGGGGGTATTTCGACCTCGGTGGGGCTTCGAGCTCGGGTCGAAAAGAATCACTTTATGCCCTGGTGATGAAATATACTGTTAGGCGAGCATTATAACCAAGCAGCTACCCAGCACTAATGAATAAGGCCTTTATCGAACTTGTGTGCCCTATTGATTAGAAAATGTTATTTAATAACTTTACGAGTAAATTAAAAACAGGTTTATCAAGAAAAATTTAAATTTCCAGTGTTTTAAAGATGAAAAGTCTTCCACGCTTGGGTCAGAAAGTTTAAACAATCAGTTGAATTTCACCTGAAGATGTTGAAGTTGTAAATTACACTAAACTTTATTATTGGATTCCACAAAATGTCAAACTTTCATTATAAGATCTTCTTTTGTGGATCATCAAATAATATAAAACATATAATTTTATTCAATGATACTAAATAAAAGCTGAATCATCATACAAATATTTTTTATCGATTAACAAACAAGCTAAGTTAACATTCAAGTTTAATTAAATTAGTATGAAAGGATTAAATTCATATATTTCTCTCGCCTGAGGGTTTTGCCACTTTACCTTTTAATCACATTCCAACGTTTTATTAGTTTTCTGACGGCCAAGTTTTCACTTTTTGTGTAAACAAAACTTCACAAGCTTTAGCTTCAATCCAATTTTAAACTGTGAAAAACTATTTGTGTCAATTTCTTAACTTGTGTTAGTTCAATAAAATTTTAATTTGCTATGAATCTCAAACTTCTTTAGGCTTAACCGCTTCAATGCACCGAAAACTCCCACGTTTAATGGGTTACGTAGTAATAAACTACCTACAGAAGGCTGTTTCGTTCGTTGTATGTGATTTTGATGTTTATTCGTTAAGATTATTTAATAAGATCAGGGTAGCTTAGTGGTTATAGCTCGCCAAGTATCTTAAAGGTCACTTGGTTGATTCTAAGAAAGGTCAGCTCAGGACCCAGCTGTTTTAAATGGGCCAATGAAAATGGTCTTGGCCTGAATCCTTAGCAATAACAAAATATATTATAGAAATTATAGTGATTGAGGTATTTGAATATTCCAACACATTATTAATAAGACTAACTAAGAATGCATTTGATTTTTCCAACGACTAGTTTTGACAATAATGCCACCATGACACCTAATGATAGAACAACTCAATTATCGTAATCATTTAATGCTTTAATTGAATAGAGCTTATTTCGATTAGTTCGAAATCATTCCCCGGCTACGACTCCGAAGTAACAAGACAAACTCAAGATAGTCCCGAATTTTACGGACGTTACATTTTCATGAAGCCCTTAAATTAAAAAATACTCGATGCAAGTTTGATGGTTAACAGATAATAGGTGGCTCTTTTGCCAGTAATAGATCATGTAAAGGAAAGCGGATCAAATCCCTTAATTTGTTGTTGATATACCAAATATTGAATACTCTGTTGCAACCAACTAACGCTTTAATCCTAAGCTAACAGATTTCCACTATTTGCATCGGTCTCGTACGGTATTTCTAAGGCACAATTCCACCCCGTGTATCCGGAGATGAGATTACAGTGCTTAGACCGTTATAAATCCACGACGGGAGGAATCAATTTGTGGTGAACTGATAAACTCGATATGACAGTACAGTAGTACGGGGCCCGGGGCGGCGCGCCGGCGCGGCCCCATCGACCCGGGAGAGTAAATACGCTACATTTTACGTTACGGGATCGGGACGGTCTGCACCCTTGGACGAGCGGCTGACGGAGCCTGTTGCGGCCACGGCGCCTCCCAGGTATTTATATTGCATACGTAAACCTAGTTGTCTAACTGTCTGTTAAAGGTATTTCTAGATTTCTAGATACTACATAAAAAAAATCACTGTAGACTAACTGGAGTGTCAGATTTCATAAATTTTCTATGGATGGAAAAATAACTGTGAATTAATTATCGATATAATTTGTGAAACACCAAATGTAAAATAAAATATACCTAAAAAATCTGAGGGTGTAATTGAAAATGATTTTTGTTGAACTTTAATATAATTTTTATTAAGATCATTTCTAACTGTGTATAGATAAAACATACTCCCTTAGATATTATTAACAATTTTGATTCATCGATTAAAATAAAATAATTAAATTGTTGAACTGCTATATTTGTGATTGTCGCGTTAGAATAATTATAAGAGTATTTATGAACACACGAAAAGCCCTGCATGTCTTCTATTTAAATATTACTGGGAAGACTAGACAACGAAAACTTGATAGAATCACAGCAAGTGAAAATCCAAATGTCCTTGCTATAAAGAAATGTTATGTGCAAAGATTTGGACATTATAGTTGAAAAGGGGTAAAGAGGAGAGCGAGAGTCGAAGCTGTGGGGAAAGTAACCAGAGAGAGCAATCAATACAGAGTTGGCGCAACAGGTGAGTTGCCTGACAACCCGGCAACCGCCGCGCCATCGCTACTGACCTGACACACGACAACCGAGACGTCACATAGCTGATGACACTGACCTGACGACCCCGCCACCGCCACGCCGTCGCTACTGACCTGACACACGACAACCGAGACGTCACATAGCTGATGACACTGACCTGACACACGACAACCGAGACGTCACATAGCTGATGACACTGACCTGACACACGACAACCGAGACGTCACATAGATGGTGACACTGACCTGACACACGACAACCGAGACGTCACATAGCTGATGACACTGACCTGACACACGACAACCGAGACGTCACATAGCTGATGACACTGACCTGACACACGACAACCGAGACGTCACATAGATGGTGACACTGACCTGACACACGACAACCGAGACGTCACATAGATGGTGACACTGACCTGACACACGACAACCGAGACGTCACATAGATGGTGACACTGACCTGACACACGACAACCGAGACGTCACATAGATGGTGACACTGACCTGACACACGACAACAGAGACGTCACATAGATGGTGACACTGACCTGACACACGACAACCGAGACGTCACATAGCTGATGACACTGACCTGACACACGACAACCGAGACGTCACATAGATGGTGACACTGACCTGACACACGACAACAGAGACGTCACATAGATGGTGACACTGACCTGACACACGACAACCGAGACGTCACATAGATGGTGACACTGACCTGACACACGACAACCAAGACGTCACATAGATGGTGACACTGACCTGACACACGACAACCGAGACGTCACATAGCTGATGACACTGACCTGACACACGACAACCGAGACGTCACATAGCTGATGACACTGACCTGACACACGACAACCGAGACGTCACATAGATGGTGACACTGACCTGACACACGACAACAGAGACGTCACATAGCTGATGACACTGACCTGACACACGACAACCGAGACGTCACATAGATGGTGACACTGACCTGACACACGACAACCGAGACGTCACATAGCTGATGACACTGACCTGACACACGACAACCGAGACGTCACATAGATGGTGACACTGACCTGACACACGACAACAGAGACGTCACATAGCTGATGACACTGACCTGACACACGACAACCGAGACGTCACATAGATGGTGACACTGACCTGACACACGACAACCGAGACGTCACATAGCTGATGACACTGACCTGACACACGACAACCAAGACGTCACATAGATGGTGACACTGACCTGACACACGACAACCAAGACGTCACATAGATGGTGACACTGACCTGACACACGACAACCGAGACGTCACATAGATGGTGACACTGACCTGACACACGACAACCAAGACGTCACATAGATGGTGACACTGACCTGACACACGACAACCAAGACGTCACATAGATGGTGACACTGACCTGACACACGACAACCGAGACGTCACATAGATGGTGACACTGACCTGACACACGACAACCGAGACGTCACATAGCTGATGACACTGACCTGACACACGACAACCGAGACGTCACATAGATGGTGACACTGACCTGACACACGACAACCGAGACGTCACATAGCTGATGACACTGACCTGACACACGACAACCAAGACGTCACATAGATGGTGACACTGACCTGACACACGACAACAGAGACGTCACATAGCTGATGACACTGACCTGACACACGACAACCGAGACGTCACATAGATGGTGACACTGACCTGACACACGACAACCGAGACGTCACATAGCTGATGACACTGACCTGACACACGACAACCGAGACGTCACATAGATGGTGACACTGACCTGACACACGACAACCGAGACGTCACATAGATGGTGACACTGACCTGACACACGACAACAGAGACGTCACATAGATGGTGACACTGACCTGACACACGACAACCAAGACGTCACATAGCTGATGACACTGACCTGACACACGACAACCAAGACGTCACATAGCTGATGACACTGACCTGACGACCCCGCCACCGCCACGCCGTCGCTACTGACCTGACACACGACAACCGAGACGTCACATAGATGGTGACACTGACCTGAGACACGACAACCGAGACGTCACATAGCTGATGACACTGACCTGACACACGACAACCGAGACATCACATAGCTTATGACACTGACCTGACACACGACAACCGAGACGTCACATAGCTGATGACACTGACCTGACACACGACAACCGAGACGTCACATAGATGGTGACACTGACCTGACACACGACAACCGAGACGTCACATAGATGGTGACACTGACCTGACACACGACAACCGAGACGTCACATAGATGGTGACACTGACCTGACACACGACAACCGAGACGTCACATAGATGGTGACACTGACCTGACACAAGACAACATATAAGTCACATAGATAATGACGCTGTCATGACCTACTACGACCGAGATGTTGCATAGCTGACGTCACCACTTGACAATTGACAATTGACAATTGACATTCTCTAGAGAGGTTCATAGGTTGAGCACGAAAGTATCAGTAGGTTATTCGACTTTGAAACATTCTACTAAAACATAGGAAAGTCACGGCACAGAAAACGTACTACTATAACCCAGAATGCCAACCGCATGGTAAAAAGCATTAAGTGTTTTGAGAGAGCTTTGCCTGTCAATCGTAGGAGCGTTGCCATGCACTCAGCAAAGCTCTCTCAAACCGCTTAATGCTTTTTACCATGCGGTTGGCATTCTGGGTTATAGTAGTACGTTTTCTGTGGTCACGGTCCCAATATCTAAAGACAGAACTGTAAAGCCTGCAACAGTGCAACGCCTGGGCGATAGCACTTAAAAAATGACGGATGGAATAGTTGATAATACAATTATAGGTAGATGATAAAGCCTAGGTCTTAGATTAGGAGAATCGTATAAAGTGTTGATGGACGCTGATCGATAAAACTGCAATGACTGATAACATATTTGAGTACAGTGATATAGTCTACTTTTTTGGAATGGCAGTGCAAGAGGAGCGGCGAGAATGTATGCAGAACAGCAGAACACTATCCGAACAGGCAATGTCCTAAAGATAAGACATTATGGTGTTCAGACATGTTCAGACAACAATACTTTTATAAATACCCCTGCCGCAGCAAACCTGCCGACTAAGCGAATTTCCAGATGATTGTAAAGTTAATAGACAAAGTAAAAGGAGTATTAGCATTGTTTAGTGTACACGTTGCTCGAAATCGAGCAATTGCAAAGAAGTAAAGTAGGTAGTTATTTAAATACAAATAAAAGTCATCATAATTTCCGATGAGTTTAAAAGACTCAACTCATGGATTACGTACCTAGCAGTTCCATATAATCAACATTTAATGTGAATAATGCGAATACTTCAATGAAAGTTTTATTAAGGTTTCTTTGATGTACCCACATTCTTTTAAAATCGCTTGACTTTTATGAAAACATATATTTAATGATAATGTCCTTGCCGTACCATTTAAATTCAGACTTAAAGGGGTTTCCTTTACCAATCATCACAAGTCCATAAGTTTCCTATAAAATAGTAGCACTTCGGCCAACATCCTTGTTCGTTGTTTGTGGGAATCTTCATATTGTAGCTGTATGTGTTCTTCATTATATAGGTTGATAACGATAGTATTTTTTTAAAATCTCTATTTCTTCTACTTGGTGGCGTTCTATGACTGCTATGTTTCCATGGTTCAAATTGGTTCTTTCATAATGATTTCTCAAGAAATACAGTAGCCTACTATGTCAATTCATTTGTCTTATTCGGTAATATATTGTATATTGTAATATATAATTGCCCAGGCTTTCTAGATTTTTTACATTGAAATATGTACGAATGTAAATTAAAAAAGTAAATATTTAATTTCAACAAAATCAGTAAATGTACCCAACGTGTTTCATTGAATTGAAAAATAAAGAACAGCAATTAAATCATACAGCTGATCAAAATGTAAACAATGTTCTTCATAAGGATAACGTGGAAACTTTAACGGCCACTGTGGCAGAGCCCTAGGGGCTTTTTCAAAAATGTAAGGTCAGTTTGCAAATCTACGCGACACGCTCTTTCCAATGTGACGTCAATGGATAAAATCGGTTAAGAAATGGCGGAGGAGTTCAACCGACAAAGTTTCATGTACCGTATTAATTATACTAGTGGTCGTCCTGTGGTCGAAACTCGACCAAAAATAATTAATGTACAGACTTCTCTATTTTCTCCCCACACTGTAAATAACACATGTGATTTGAATTTCTTCCATTTGTTTTGATTTTCTGTTTACATTTTGTTGTTATTTCGTCACCATCATGGCAACCCATATGCTCC